GAATTGAACTGCGAGATAAAAAAGAAACAATAAGCTATCTTTTTAATTAACTTGGGGTATTTCGAGAATGTCTAGGAGTAAAGAAGCTAGAAGTATCTAAGATGAACAAATATATTAAATACAAGACTAAACAGCAGGTAATTAATGAGAACAATAAATATGAATGTAGTTAGATTAACAGCATTCTTTCTCGGCTACATAATGGAAAATCTCACAGCTAGCCGGAAAATGAAGAGACAAGGCCTTGACACCAAAAGAAAAGCGGATGACCCATCAGCATCAAGGACTGAAAATCGAGAGCTGTGAATAAACGGGTAAAATTGAATGTGCGATATATGCAAAGACAAGAAATGATCCTATATTGTAAAACTGTTCTAAAATACAGAATGAGATAGAAAGTTGATACATGTACAAATGGTGAGCACACGAAAAAAAAATACTCACCTGGAATAATTTAAGAAAGCCATAGTGTTAAATAATAGTTTAGTATGCTATTATTTTCAGAGGTAATTGTATCTCAGTTGCGACTTCAGGAGGTTGGCCTTCACGGTCAGATGCAAGCCAAAATAAGGTAGTCGATTTTCATTAGCTGAAATAGCGTGGAAATGATAGAATCAAAAAGCTTTTTTCAGGGAGTTGGTTCGTACACATCAAGCAATGTAGACGTGTTCTCTTTCATGTGTGAAACGCCCACCCCCCTTGAGGGAGGGACGACCTCACTGGATAGCACTTGTTGATATTTATAAAACAGTTAAGTAAAGTTTTTTTTTTTTTTTAATCTCTGAACCAAAAACATCTAGCAATCACCAAACGAGAGAGAAGATGCAACCTTTTATCGAATTGGCGCCGTTGACCTCTCCCAGCATGACGGACCTATACAACAATGGAAACGATCGTAAACACTCAATTTTGATATGTTTACGCAAAGTTCTTCTTAAATCTGAAACGATTATTTCAACATTGCATCCCACAACATACCTACTAACCCAAATAGTATCTTTTGGAGGAAAATAATGCAATTACAAACTATTTAAGTGAATATAACAAGATGACTTAACAGAATATATAAACAAATACGATATATATACAGTTGGAAAATGGTAATGAAAATATTAGCCTTTTCCTTACAAGGAAACATTCGACATTCATGGACAGAAAAAGTTGCTTCACTCGGTTGACATTTATAAAATCTTTTTATTAATTTTTTTCCAGGAAAACATTGTTTCTGAAGTTCACTCTTAATTATCTTCTTAACATTGAAATGGATTCACTTCCAAACCTATTGCTCGAAGTAGTGTGGAACCTTACCGTAACCATTATTACCATTTGTAATGTTGTGGTGTTTTCTCTCTAATGAGTCTATTGGGGAATCTTCCACTTGATATTAGTAGGAAAGCAAGCCCCCGGAGAAACATTAGTATAGATTGAACGTTGGTCAACCGACACACACTCCCAAGTCGTGTAACATTCTTCTGTTGTATTTACTGTTCAATACACGATTTATCTACAACGTCTTGTTTTTTTTATTTCTCTTGGAATTTTTGGGTACCCTGGTGTACTAGTGAACCAGCCAAAATGAGCTGACTCATTTTATAGTCCACCAATAGAAGGGTTAACCAATCAGAAGGCTCAAAATATTCAATGCGACGTGTATAAAGGCGGCCATGTTTTTCCCGAATACTCACTGCCAGCCTTTGATATCGAAGACTGAAGTATTTCGGAACAGCTGGTGGTGGTATTGGCGATATAGTCAGATTCAGTAAAATATCTGACTCGAGAGTATTAATCTTTAACGTTGTTTCATTGAACAGATTACGTACTGCGCTGTATTCCATATTCATAGGCTATGGTGAATATGGTCAACAATTTCTTAACCCTTTACTTGGTTACAACATATAACATAATGAACGATACAGAATAACGCTTACTTCTTTCAGAATAGGCAAATGTGAAAGCAGTCCAGGCCATAGTTGAAAACACACAAACAAAATGAAAAAAAAAACAAGCTTGTCTTTCGCGAGTTCTGAAAAATCTCAAGATTCTCAACAGTGGAAAAACATCAGTTCCTTCCATCATAAACTGTCCTGCGATTATCATGTCCATGTCAGATAGAACTAAAGTCTTTACAATGAACTTCATCTCCAACTCAACAAAAACATTTGCGATATCTCTGTCTATATTCAGGATTTTTTCAAAATTCTAAAAATACTCGGCTCTACAAACATTACTGCAGTTGTTATTAACAAAGTGAGCAGAGAGCTATCCAATTTTCGCAAAATTGTTTAACCGCTCTCCGAAAGAGAAATGTTAGCTATATGTTTATAGAAAGTTTCTGTTGTATGCCCAGATTCTGACGCCTATGAGAAATATTAACACTTCTCCTAGTCTCTCACGTCGAGGTTGCCCTTTTTCTGCTATATATTAACGGTCGGACAATGAACATTCTCATATTATTATTAAATATATAGAGAGTAACACGCTTTATTGGAGCTCAATGAAAACTCCAGATATCCAGAACTTGACAGCTGCTCTCTTCTCTGACCGCTTTATTTTCCTTCTCCCCAAATTCTGATGATGCTAAATAAATTGCAAAAGATGTTCAATTTACAAAGGTTTTCCTACTATGTTCTTAATAAAAAGTTATACATATTTTCAACTCTCTCTGTCTCTCTATCTCTCTCTGACACACACACACTCATACACACACACACACATATATATATATATATATATATATATGTATATATGTGAAGAAAAATATACAGAAAAAACAAACAAAAATCTTAATATGCAATTAATGTATTAATGTTAATATAAAGTCAAAGTCGGACGTTTCGGACTATTTTAGACCATCTTCAGGACATTTGCATTTAAACATATCTAACATTAGAACATATAAAAATTCAACACGAAAAGACGATGGACATAAGAGCACAACTAATCCAAACAGATAACTGAAATTTTTATATAAGATCAGCGTTCCGTTTAAATATGATCACGTCGTCGTCACGTTGGCGATGTTGTGAAAACGTATTCGAAGATGATTTCCAAATATTAAAATATTACAAAAAGTCGATTGAACTATTTATATAAACAGTTCAAGAAATCCCTTCCGTTGTTTTTTTTTTAATATTTGGAAACTCAATCTATATCCATATATTTGCTTACACACACACACACACACACACACACACATATATATATATTACTTCGAGGATCTGTAGTTTTAATTTTTAATTTTTTAATGTAGGATAGGTGTGTTATTACTCAATATTTTTCTATACTGCGAATGTGGACAGAAATGTTGGTGTAAATGTCTCGCAATAGACGAATTGTGAGATATGTGTAGAGTCTTGATAATGTAGTTGTTGTTTATCCAGCATATATATTTGTTTTTTCTGTTGGAGATACATTCTCCCAAGAGAGATTTAAATTGATATATGATGTTGGTTTTACGTAATATAACAGTTGGTGGGGAGGAGTTATTTACACACACATTCCTATCCATATTCACAGTATAGAAAAATACTGATTGATAACTCAACTATCCTATTCCAAAAGATAAATCAAAACGAAGCAATCTACATAAAAAACTGAAGCCGACACTGAATAGAATCAACTACGAAATATATATATATATATATATATATATATATATATATATATATATATATATATATATATATATATATATATATATATATATATATATATATATATATATATATATGTATATATAGTAGGTAACCGTTTACCTGGGAGATAAAAAATACTGCCCTATTTGGTCCAACTTCAGTTCCTTGATGGTGAAAATGGAGGACCTCTCCAGGACACAGGATTGGACGATGGTATACGAAGCAGCTGGTTATGAGGCGCCAGTTTCCGCCTTCGCCCATTCTCCGGCTTAGAGAAACTATTTGAGCTAGTGGAAGTTTGTCCCTATTAACACCTCCGGCGTTAAAAACATTTAGAATATATATAATATCCGTATATAAACATTGTATAAAATATATATATATATATATATATATATATATATATATATATATATATATATATATATATATAGAGAACGAGAGAACGAGTAGTACGTATATAGGTTTATTGGATAGGGACTGGCCAAGAGATACTGGACGTCTAAGTTCGAATTTCAGTCGGGACATTTACATTCACTTACGTGCAAAAAACCTTGGAAAAGTATAAATACATCTGCTTCGCCAGCTATGGGTTAAATAGTAGGACATGTATCTCGAAAAATCAATTTTATTGTAAAAATAACAAACTTGTGAATGAATTATTCACTTGCGATGAATAAATTATCCTTATATTCCGAGTCACAATGGGTTTATGAACCGGAAATAAAGATCAGTCAATCGATCTCTCTCTCTCCCTCTCTCTCTCCCTATATATATATATATATATATATATATCTACGTGTGTGTGTGAGTCTCGTTGGACAAAGAATTATTTGCTGAAACAAGCTGAGGCTGGCGTAAAAGCTAGGTAATGGGTTATCTTGTGAGGGTAAAAGCCATAAACCTTGGGTATTGTCTGGCAGAATATCTGGCGTTTAATTGCTTTTGTACTATCATCTATTTTTGAGATGTTGTGTGTATTAACTTTTGAGCTTCTCGCTCTGTAACGTTATATATATATCTGTGTGTGTGTGTGTGGGTATATATATATATATATATATATATATATATATATATATACATATATATAGACACTAGCATATATATATATATATGTATGTATGCTAGTGTCTATATATATGTGTGTGCGGAGGAGGTGCTTAGAATCATGTGTATATTTCGATTATTTTCGCTTTTCTCCCGGGTGTATTTTCCGCCTGTTTCTTTGACTCTCTGACTTCGCGCATGCGTACGGGTATGCGTGTTTCACTATAGGTTAACAAATACGTTGTTAACATGCCTCTTCAAAAGAATTGCGCCTCTTTCGCTTCTATAGGCTTTTAACTTTCCGGTACTAATCAGGCGTTAAGAACATTGGTTGGCAGTGAAAGTGAGTGCGTGCGTGAGAGCTATTCGGGTGGGGTCGGATGGAGGGGTGTTGGACAAAGAAGAAAATATTAAAAGAAAATTCAAAAGACGGGTGAGGAGGAATTGAAAATGGAAGGAGTAAAGAAAGGCAATGAGTGCGGAAGAGAAAAAATCAAGAAGAAAGAGAATAGATGAGGAGGGAGAAATATATAAGCAATAAAAGCAGAAAGAAAGAAAGAAAGAAAAGAAAGAAAGAAAGAAAGAAAGAGATACATAGTTTAAAAAAATGAATGAATGGAAGACAAGGATCTGTAAAATATGTGAAAGAGGCAGAAACAGGAAAGTAGTTTTTGAAAAAAAGGTAGAAAGAAAATAGAAATTGAAGAAAAGTTTGAAGAAAAGAAAGAAAAAAGAAGTAAAATAGCTCCAGTATATGACAAGTTGATAAAAAAGAGAGAAATAGAAATGCAAATAAGTCTAGAGAGGGGTGAAAAAAAGAAAAGAGAGATAGGGAGAGAGGGGGGAGGGGGAGGGGGGAGAGAGGGGAGAGAGAAGGGAGAGGGTGAGGGGAGAAAGAGTGAGAGAGGAGGAGATTGTTTCATCGATTGATTTTTTTACCGACTTAACCCTTTGTGACTTATTCAAAACTGAAACATATTTTCAAGATAGATAGATAGATAGATAGATAGATAGATAGAGAGAGAGAGAGAGAGAGAGAGGTGGGGATAAAGAGAGAGAGAGGTGGGGATAAAGAGAGAGAGGGGGGTATAGAGAGAGAAGGAGAGAGAGAGAGAATGAAAGAGAAAGGGAGAGACCTTGATTCATCTTTTTGATTATTTCGCCGGCTTATCAATCCTTTATGACTTAATTAAAACCGAAGCATTTTTTCGACAGTGAGAGAGAGAAAGAGAGACAGATAGATTGAGAGAGAGAGAGAGAGACAGACAGACAGACAGACAGACAGAGAGATAGAGGGAGAGAGAGAGAGAATATGTAAATAGAAATAAAAAGGCAAAAGAGGAATGAGAAGAGGAAGACAAGTAAAAGACGATAAAATGAAACCTTGTAGAAAAGAAGAGTGACTACCAACCGTAGTGTAGTGATATCCATACTAACTTTAACTCCATACGTATAAACTTATTCGTTACTATGCTAACTTGGGTAGATAATAAAAAAATAGATCTCTTCACTTTTGTTGTTTTTATTTTAATACAGGTCAACATCGTCTTACAGGCCGTTTCGCTTAGTGTAGAATTCAATGCAATTCAGGTGCGCGACACAGATTGAAAGACGTCTGACTAAGCACGGTTTTGAAAAAAGATTCTCAACCGGCGTGCCAGAGTGCACTAATGCGCCCTGAAAGGTAGCTAGGTGCGCCCCAGTTAGAAAGAAAAAAGTTATATATATATATATATATATATATATATATATATATATATATATATATATATGTGTCTCATTAAATAATTTAGAAAAGTTTTGTCTACTTATTTTAATATGATCCTCTTGTAATTACGGACAAGTTTATTAGTATCCTCATAAAAGGAAGAAAGACAATTACCATGTTGAGGAATATTTATTTTATTTCGTATGCTTTCAACAGTACTTAATATTTTTAAGTAGTTTTTTTCTTTTTTTTTTAAAAAGATATTTAAGCATTTTTATAATTAGTTACCTTCCTTGACGTTTGCACGTGTGTCTACATGATAAAATTTAAAAATTGTACAGTACATAGCCGTAGTGTTTTTCACTTCACGCTTAAAAATTTGATTTTCAAATGAACACAAAAATTTTCTCTTAGAAAAAAGTCCCTGATGACGACATTGTGCTAATGTCGAAAGTACTCGGAATAAAATGAATATAGCCACCACATTTTAAATTGTCACCTGTGTGGCGCTAGTAAACTTCGGCAAGTGGCAATGGCGCTTTCATGTAGTTAATGACTTAACATCCTTACTCAGATACCAGCAGTTATTATCATGGCTTGTATACATGCAGACACAATCTTTACTTTTGAAAAGTGTTTTTTTAATGACTGGTGAATATATAATTACAAAAACAGAAATTCCTTTCGCGCTTATTTCCTTTTACGTTGGAATTATGCTGCTATGGTTTGAACATTTCAGGGCTTCAGGTTCACCTCTCTAAAAGAAAGCAATCTGGAAAACTTCGATCGGAACGGGTGATGGAAAATTTTGAAATCGTCTGTAACAAGTGCATAGCGAATAGAGATCCCCATATGGGGAGGATACCATTTTAAAAACCAAATGAATAAATACTATCATTATTTGTTTAAACGGAAGTGAAATATATTTTTTATGGCAGTTACCAAGGTACTTTTGTTAGCCTTTAAAATGTTGGAGGTATTTCTGTCACATCCTGTTTACATTATTTTCCACTTCTCTCTCTCTCTCTCTCTCTATATATATATATATATATATATATATATATATATATAAATAACAGAGGATGTATGTGTGCCTGTCTATGTGATACCTTTTCACTTGACATCCTTCCAACCGATTTTGACTAAACTCGGCGCATATATTGTACAATGTAATTAATAGGTTCTTAGCGTAAAAAATCGATAATTTTTAAGAAATCAATAATCAATAAAGCAGATCGAAAATTCGGTAAATTCAACTTTGTTCCTCCGATTTCATTCAAACTCGGTATGTAGGTTACTTACATCATGACGAGCTCAACGATACTTTTTTTTTTATTTCTACGCCATTACGTTTAGCCAGAAACTGCGAAAAACGAAAATCGATTTCAACACAAATCGATTTCAACACAAATTTTAATCTAAAAACTCCCTCAATTTTCAAGCAATCTAATACTAACTTCATTTAATTGTAGCCAACAATAAGTTGATTGTTTAACAGTTATTTAACTTGATAATTGATTCCATCCATATATTGTGAAAACCCGCGTAAATTGCGAAAAATGGTGATTTTTTTGGTTTCTGTCTTATTTTTCATTGATCTTCCAATCAATTTTCATCAAATTTTCATCAAATATTTCTTTATAAATGTATCCTCTTTTACATCCCTGGTAGTACACTGACAAATTGAATTTCAAAAATTCCAAAATAATTGTGGTCTGAAGTCGGTCTTCATGTTGCCTGTTTTACCCCTTCATGTCTTCCGCTAACTTCGATTGAATAAATTCAGACTATTTCTGTTATGTCACTAACTGCATTAATTCAAAAATGTTTTTTAATGAAAGTACTTTAAAGTAATTGAAGAAGATAAACTTTCTTACATGTAAACACGATGCTGTTTTTGCTCCATTCTAATTGAACGCTTTTTCTGATCCACAGCGAGGTATGGCTGCTAATATTATATAATATTGGAAAATGCTTAAATTCAGGAATATATAGAAGAATATAATTGTTTATTCCACATTAAATGCAATCTATTATTAGAATTTAAAGTGCATCCCAGAGTTTTAGTTAATCTTGCCTCTTGAGGTAAAAAAAGGTTAAGAAATATTGGCTTAGAGATTCAGGGTGTCAATGGTTTCAAAACTAATTTCGCATGATAAGTGTAAGCTATATTTAAAAATCAAGGGTGCCACCATAGAGCAATGATTAATGTTCTTACTTCGTTTGACATTTTGAATTAAAGTAAGTTGGATTCTCACATTTGTGACATTGATGAAGAATGAGTTAAACTAAATAAATGACAAATAAAGAGATAAATCATTGAAACCTGCAAGATATATATATATATATATATATATATATATAGAGAGAGAGAGAGAGATTACAAGAGAGTTAACGAGAGAGAAGATGAGAGAGTGAGAAGGCAGTGAGAGAAAAGAAAATGATACAGTGAATTCTGAGAGAGAGAGAGAGAGAGAGAGAGAGAGGAGAGGGCAAAGGAAAAGAAAAAGGATAGAGAAGAGAAGTAATGTGAATTAGGAGACACGAGGAAGAGTGAGAGAAAAGGTTTGAAATAAAAAGAGAGCTAAATAATGAGGGAAAATTAGAAGAGAGAAAGGGGGAGAGAAAAGGAGAGTAAGGAAAGAAGACGGGTAAGCAAGAGATTGCGTGAAAGAAAAAGAGAGGGAAAGGAATTAGAAAAAGGAAAGAGATAGAGAGAAAGTGGGAGAGTAGAAAAGAGAGGAGGAGTGAGAGAGGGGAGAGTGAGAGAAGACGGAAAAATCAGACAAAATGGTAAATTGAGAGATAGAAAGAGAAAAAGGAATAAGAGTGTGAGAGAAAGTAGGAGTGCGTAAGAGGATAGTGGAAAAAAGTTGAGAGAAGTTTAAATATGACAAATCATTGAATTATTAGAGAGAAGGGTAGAGTAGTAGAGAAAGAAGAAGCGAGTGGGAGAAAGGGAGAATTAGGAAAGACATGAAGATAGTGGGGTGAGTAGAAGAGAGAGGAATGAGGGAGTGAGAGAAAAGAAAATGAGATAGAACAGGGAATTAGGGAAGATAAGTAGAGAGTAAGGGAGAGAGGAATGAGTGAGTGAGAAGAGAATGAGAGAAAATAAAATATAACGGAATTAGGGAAGATAAATAGAGAGTGGGGGTGTGTAGGAGAGAGAGAGGAATGAGTGAGGGAGAAGGGAGAGAAGAAAATATGATAGAACAGAATTAATGAAGATAAATAGAGAGTGGGGTTGAGTAGTAGAGAGAGGAATGAGTGAGGGAGAAGAGAGTGACAGAAAAGAAAATGAGGTAGATCAGGGAAGATAAATAGAGAGTGGGGGGGTGTAGTAGAGAGTAGTAGAGAGAGGAATGGGTGAGGGAGAAGAGAGTGATAACAAATAAAATAAAATAAACCGGAAATAGGGAAGATAGAAAGAGAGTGAGTGTGAGTAGCAGAGAGAGAAAGGTATGAGCAAAAAGAGAGTAAGAGAAAATAAAATAAGATAGAAGGGAATTAGGCAAGATAAATAAGAGTGAGTGGGAGTAGGAGAGAGAGGAATGAGTGAGTGAGAAGGGAGTGATAGAAAAGGAAAAGAGACAGAAGAGTAAATTAGGAGAGAAAAGAAGCAGGGTAGCGAGAGAGTGAGAGTGAGTTGTAGTGATGAAAGGACACAAAAGAGCGAGAGATCGCGAGAGTTGGGGAGATGGAGAACGAGAGATCGATAGTGCGGAGAATAATGACGCCTGGTGACGAAAAACACCTTTGTTTTTCGTCACTAGGTATCGTTAGACAATAATAAAGCCGAGTTAAATAGCGAAAACAAAAAAAAAAAACAAAAAAAAAAGAAGAAAAGAAACGTAATACAAAGAAAATAAAAGCAAATGATCAGGACATAAAGCGATTATTAGCGCGTGAGAAAGACCGGGTGGGAGCGAGACGAACGCAAGCCAGAATTGGACACAGCAGTTCGTAAGCAAACCTTCCTTTCAATCATGGCGTTTTGAAAATCGGTCCACTTAAGACGCAATTTGTTCTAAAAGACTGCTTTCGGGTAACACCAGCCCATTATTGGTTCTTGCTTCATTTCTATTCTGTCTTGTGAACACCAAATAAAGGGTGAATACCATTATTTCGCCTGTTATTTGTTTGTAGAAGCATAAACTTGTTGAACATGTAATCCTAGCATATTTGCCGCTTTTATAGGGTCATCGTTATTACATTTCTTAGGAAAGAAACAGGATATCTACTGACTAAGAAAGCGTAGCAGAATATAGATAGACGAAATAAAACTCGAGGAAACTTGTAAATATAAATCTGATCAGAGAAACTACACTTAAACAACGTGAGAAAATTATTTTCTATTTTGGATCTTCACGCAAATTGTCATTTTCTCTTAATTTGCAATAGAATGGCTGCAAGGGTTCATCATTGTGCAGTTCAAAACGGCTAGAGTTAACCGTAAGTTCTATGCTAACAGCTTCTTTCTCCCGCCTCTCGCACGTTAAAATTCACTCCCGGCTTCTTGCTTTCTGTTCAACTTTGACCTTTAAAAATTTAAATGCGATATCATTCGCTACCTTTTCTCTTTATTCTTCCATTTGTAAGGGGTAAGTACTTCTTGCAATATCGAAGGTACTCTCGATGGGATGCTTCCTTGATCATTAAAATCTTAACCTCTTTAAGTCGAGTGTCAACGATTATCTATTCTATGTATTGAATTATATCCAACACTCGCTTCTTCCCTATGCCCACATAAAATATCTCCATCTAGTAACCCTTCACCAAGAGTAGTACACAGTCCTTTTATTGGGTGAACAATAAAGGTTTCGTTCGAAACGTATATCACCTGAAGAAGCTCGGAGCGTACAAGGGTCGAAACGTTGTAAATATGGCAATAAAGATTGGGTCAACAGTCCGAGCGATATAAATAGGGAAAATATTTGCAATATTATCTATCTCAGAAATATAGAAAGATATTAAAGAAAATTATAAAAAAAATATCTATACTCAAAATCAAAAAGAGGCAACTGAAAATTTTTGAATACATAATGAGGAAAAACGGATTGGAAAACTTAATCAAGGGCAAGAGATTTAAGAGAGGGCAAGGGTGTAAATATGGCAGAAAGGCGGGAGGCTTGGCAAAGAGAGTAACGCTGATAAAGGCCACTAGGGATAGGAAGTTTTGGCGCGCCATGATCGTCCTGAAGAGACACGGTACCTACAAGAAAAAGAACACGAAGAATATATTATTGTCTTCTCTGATGCTAGTAGCAGGTAAGAATATTTGACTGCACTTTTCTATTTCGCGGGCAAAAAGGAGTTACTGGGAAAGAAGGTTCAGTTTTTTTGACAGGATCATTTGAAGGCTCTTTTTCAAGATGGAAAAAATAACTCTTAATTTTTTATGTTCTGCATATCTGTTTTTTTTTTATTTTCTTTGGGGAACACTTTATATAAAAAATGGGGAAATTTTGTATCAATTTTACCATTTTACAAATGTGTGTAGATCAGATCCCTATCGCACACTCTATGTTACATGAATTAAAAAAAAATGTCTCTTCCGCAAGAGAAATGGTACAAAATGTGTTCTGTTCATACGTGCTAATGATATATCTTTTAATTATTTTAACCCCAAGGAAAGCAATAGAGCATTTAAGACGCAAGGGGTTATTGAGTGTTGTAGAATATGGGAGAGAAAAAAAACAGTATTAGAGAGAAAGAACAATGAAAGAAAAGGAATGAGAAAGACAGAAGATAATGATTGACATTTACATTTTTGAAGATCAAACTTGTCTGGAAAACAAAAAGCCGGAAAAGAAGTGCAAGGAAAGAAACTGTTAGCATAGAACTTACGGTTACATAAAGCCATTTAAAATATAAAATGATGTGACCTTGCCGCCAATTAAATACTGTGCTTAAATTCTTAAAGACTGGGTAACATATAAGGTAAGTTCATAAGAATAATTGACATGAAAGTATTTATAGGAATGACACAGTGAAGTTAAGTTACGCCGATGGGAAAGTAATTGAATTGGTTTGGTCAGTTTCGATCGGGAGATTTTCCTCTCGAAGATTTACTGCCATCTGGACAACTAGATTTTTCAGAATGGAAAATAGTAAGCAAACTGCACGAAAATTAGCAAAAAAGTTTCAAAAGAATTCCACTTGGAACATAAAGATTAGTTTAAGCAAAATATCACCCTTTGCTTGTCATTAAAGATTGCACATACTACCGTATTATTCCTGGGTATCTTCATTACTAGTGTTAGAAAATAGGCTTTTCATAATAACGCAGCTTAGACAATGGTTAGCATTAACTGAAAAAAGTAGAATCCATCCCCAAATCAGAATACCACCCGAAAATATGTTCGGTGGAATATGATAAGAGTTGTCTATCAGGGTGTGTTAAAACAAATCGAAACAGTTAATGCGCCATTTGGAAGCAATGCCCAAATAATTACAGAAAAAAACAAAAAAAACACCATTCATTAATTTAAGGGTGTGTTGTACTTATACGATAATGCCAGTTCACATATAGCTCATGTAACTCGGGAAAAAGATTAAGGCAATAAATATGCAAGTTTTACCTCAGCCTCCTAACTCTCCTAACCTTGCTCCATCTGACTATTATCTTTTCAGATCATTGAAACATTTTAAGAGAGGAAGCATTTTATTAATTTCGATTAGGTTTAAACAGATATTGTCTGTTTCATTGGATCGGAAACAAAATGATCCGGTAGATGATATATTATTAATGATGAGGGAAAATATTTTACTGATCATATCCACCAATTAAAACCTAAGAAACATTTGAGTAATTTCCCTCTTTAAATGTGACAGGCATTTTTTTTAAATAATTTAAGGCCATCGGTATAGGGAATCATTTAAGTATCGAAAAGAGAATGCTGAGACTGTCTTCCTGGAATAATTTGTCAAACTATGTTCTGTAAAGGCGCCCAGATATATACTACATTTTGTCGGGCAAGGCTCAAAAGTATTCTGTTCCCAATAGAGAGCTAATTGGTATTCAACATGAGATTTCTGTATTTCCCGTATGACAAAACGCATTTTTTCCTTCTTTTGCCAAATCATGCATACTTTATTTTTGTCTGTCTATTTCTAATGATCCAGTGATTATCCTAGATTAGCCTGAAGAAACATCTAAGACTTCCTCAAGTTAATAATAATATCTAAGATTTCCTTAAGATAGTAATAATAACATCTAATACTCTCTCAAGTTAATAATAACATCTAAAGCTTTTCCTGAAACATACCCTAAAGATCTCCCTACGTTTTTGCTCTAAAAGTTCAAGTCGTAGAAAGGAATTGGCTAACTCTCACGAACCCCGGTTACGAGATACAAGCAAACACGAACCCTGCTCACATAATCCTAAAATTTATTATTCATATGTAATATGGCATTGTATATCCTTTTAGTATTATACAATATAGATTTAGTATTGATGATAACCGGCGCATTGATTGATTTATTGATTGATTTGTGTTTTACGGCTTATCAGCTTTTTGTAGGTTATTTAAAGACAGAAAAATATTTCTTTTAGAATTTACGAATTCTTTGGACGACAACAATAGATTGCTGCTAAGTCCAACTAATTAACCTGTTCTTGAGGTAAGATAAAGTGAATTCTTACGTTTCCATAGGATACTTGCATTTAAATAAATTTAACGAACCGGACTGAAAATCGAACTCGGATTTCAATTCTGAACCGTTATACATTACACCATCCACACATCCAATACGATCACTTGTATTTCCAAGCAGTTACCCATCTAAGTACTGAACAGACTTTGGTGATCGTATGAGAGTAGATGCTTCAACGTGATGTGTTCATAGGCCCCAGTTTGTTGACACGTCTTGCGGCTTCCGGTGGCAAGTACGTGTTGTTTCTGATGTGCCTAGGTATAATATTGTCCTAAACATTTGAAAGTCTAATTAGTAATAACCCCAAATTTTAAATAATAGATCTAAAATATGATAAGTTGTTGTGGCAGAAAGAAAAATAACACCGTAAAGTTGGAGACTTGCCCTTGCTAGTAATGTCAGCTACTAAATCCTGAAATATCTTTTTTTTTCCCCCAAAATATACCTAGCTAATTATTTGTTGCGTTGCACCACTTGTAAAGTCTTAGCGCGCAGGAAAGACTTTTTCTGAAAAATGCCCTAAAGATCCCACTGCGTTTTAGGTCTAAAAATTCAAGTTGTAAATAGGAGTGTGCTAACACTCACGAAGCACGGTTACTAGATAAAAGCAACCACGAACTCCACACACATAATCCTGCAGTTATTGTTCATATGCAATATGGCACTGTATATCATTTTAGTATTATACAATATAGTTTTAGTATTGATGATAACCGGCGCGTTGATTGTTTTATTGACTGACTTGTGATTTAGATCACACTATCAGCATGGTCCGGCGTTGCCCGTGCTTGGTTTAAAAATCGTACGACTCATACAGCAATCGCTATCACTTGACTTAAAATATTTTTGCCCTTCCTTGCCTTTAAAGGAGTGCCCTTCGCCGTGCTGATGTTGTTACATGCCTTACTTCTTGCCTCACACTGCGAATTTTTTCTAAGCTCTATACTAAACATTAAATATGTTACGAAAAAAGTACTAAACAAAATGAACACAAAACGATCAGCTTTAAAAAAGGACTCGTAACTGGAAAAAAACGAATGAAAAAAGAATGTTAACAACAAATACTTTTTCACACCCAACCCAGTTCTGCGGAATCAGAATCAACGTTGAAT